AGAAAAGGACCAGAACTTTAGGTTATATAAATTCTCATGGGTTTCTTCTGAGATGCATCAGTCACTTGGCACAATACTTCAGTAACTGCAGAATGCCTGATTCCTCACTCCTTCCCTGATAAACTGTTCAATCAGAACTATGTTGAATGTATTTTTAAGTGTCAAACTAAAAAGCTAGAATTCATCAAACTGAAAAAAAAAATGGCAAGGAAAGAAATGCATTTTCTTTAAAGATATACAAATACTACTCAAAAGAGGCTGCTATTAGTTATTACATATCCTCTTTTTATAGGTTTTTAACTAAAGAACTTTAAAATTGACTATATGAATTATCTTGGAATGTATTCTTTAGGGGAGGTAGAATTTTACCACTACCATCTTAGGGTTTTTAAGCTGGCCCTGAAAATTCAACTGACATAAGACAGGTCCACAGGAAAAAAGCTTATACATTTATTTAATACAAATTTTACTTGGCACAGGAGCCTTCATAAAGATATGAAGACCCAAAGACTCAATTAAAGTTGAATACTCATATAATGAGGTAGACAAAGAGAAATAACTTATGAAATATAAAAAAGCAAAGGGGCTTCAGTTAGGGTAGTTATTTAGGCAGAGAAGTGACTAGGAAAATAAAAGGTTGGTTACATAAGGATTGTTTGTACAGATTCCCCTCAGCTTCAACTTCCCATCCTTGATAAGAATGATACTTTCCTTCATATCAGGAGAACCTCTTTCATGTAGGAATTCCATCTGTGCTTTTAAGGAGTAGGAGGAAGGTAACAGTGATCTGCCTGCACCTACTGTTTTTCAAATGCCTTCACCTCAAAATAGTCAATATGCCAAAATGTCATATTTTGGGGTAGCATGCTCTTAAGTTCTTTAATTATTTCCTTACACTGTTATGCAAGCTTTCAATCTTTAGTTTCAAATGACATCCATGATCAGAGCAATGGTACTGATACCACTATCACTAGGGATAACCCAAGACAGGTATAACCTCAAGAGCTTAGTGGGAAGAATATACACAGTAACTACTCCCATCAAATTTGGTTATATTAGATACAGATGAAAAAGCTGTAAATTCCTCAATTTTTATTTCTTTTTCCACATGTTCATAAAATTGGTACACAAAAGAAGAATCTTCATTCTGCAGACCTGGAAAAACCTGAAGTAAGGCAAGAAGCTTAAAATATGGGTACTAGATCTTTTCCCACACCCTCCATGCCCCTCTTCCACCACCTAGACAGACTTTAAGGTCTTCCAAACAAGAGAATCATGGGTTATTTGTCTTGGAATCCATAGTACCTAAGACAGGGCCACCACTAAAAAAACATAATCAAATATAATAATAAAGAATATTAGCTGAGGCCAGGCACAGCGGCTCAAGCCTGTAATCCCAACACTTTGGGAGGCAGAGGAGGGCAAATCACAAGGTGAGGAGATCAAGACCATCCTAGCCAACATGGTGAAACCCCGTTTCTACCAAAAATACAAAAATTAGCTGAGCATGGTGGTGTGCACCTGTAATCCCAGCTACTCAGCAGGTTGAGGCAGGAGAATCACTTGAACCCAGGAGATAGAGGCTGCAGTGAACTGAGATCACACCACTGTACTCCAGCCTGGCGACAGAGCAAGACTCTGTCTCAAAAAAAAAAAAAAAAAAAAAAAAAGAATATTAGCTGAAATCTTTTA